GCAAATATACTTAGATCTTAACCTTGTGTACACACGTTATTGTGTGTTCAGAAATTATCCACAAAGATGATAATGAACACACAGAGTAGAAGAACTAGAGAAAAAGAGTGGAATTAGTGAAAGGAAGAGAGAGAAAGAGAGAGAGAGAGAGAGAGAGGGAGAGTGGGAGAGAGAGGGAGAGAGAGAGAGAGAGAGAAAGGAGAGAGAGATGGAGAGGTAGAGAGAAAGAGAAAAAGGAAAGAGAGATGAAGAGATAGATAGATAGAGAGAGATAGAGAGATGAAGAGCGAGAGAGAGAGAAAAAAAAACGAAGAAAGAGAGAGAGAGCTTTGATATAATACCTTCAGAAATGTTTCGGATCTTGATATAAAAAAAAAACACACACACACACACCCACACACACACAAACCGTGTACATACAGGTCGAAACACACAGGAACACCATTATACATGTAGGCCATTACACAAATAGGATTACCCTGCATATACAGGCCACACACACAGGTTTGCAAACAACTTCAGAATTAGTTTGGGTACGAAGGTGAAGGCCCAGGATAGCTTGAGTTCTCGGAAAAGAGTAATGAGGTATAGATGAAACTTTTTCGTGTCATTATGCCTATAAGGTATTGTTCTACTTGTGAAGTGGGGGAAAAAAGAGGAAAAAAATCTGTGCGTATCTCCTTATGTGGTTGTCATGCTGTTTTTTTTTTTTTTTTTTTTTTTTTTTTTTTTTTTTTTTTTTTTTTTTTTTTTTTTTGCTTTTTATCATCTATAGGTATCATTTATAACAACGAGAAACTCATAACGCAAACGAAATAAATCCAAAAACTAAAAAAAAAGAAAAGAAAATCAGGAAATTGAATATTCAAATATCATTTTTTTTTTCATCTGTTATGATCCCCGCCAACATCACTGACACACATGCCCGCCAACATAACCAACATTATCGACATACTTCTCCATCTATCTCATCTATCTCCAAACCACCTCGAGACGCAGACAGCGCTAATTAGAAGGGGAGACAAATATAAACACGTGGTCTGCTATTATCAAGGGATTTGCATCTCATATAAGGCTGTAATTCTTAGGAAATTCGCCAAATGCAGCAAATGGCAACTGCATTATTCAATTGATAGTGAAAATACTTTTTTTTATGTGAGAATTTACATTGATTTACCCTCACATAGAAAATACAGTAGACGTTAGCTAACCAAAGCGAATGATAACAGGCAATACGAAATATATAGATAATGATAATAATAGATAAATAAAATAATAATAGAAATTAAAAAACTATAAGATAGTTAATGATACTATTAAGAAATAAATTAATAAATAATGATAAATAAGTAGAAATAAAAATAAAATCAATGATAATAATAATAGATAAATAAATAATAATAAATGAGTAAATAAAGAAAACAATAAAGTAATCATAAGAATATATCAACGACAGTAATAGATAAAAAAAGACAATAAAAAAATAATAAAAAACACTATGGGATTCAGTTACAGCCCTGATCTCAGTGTCCTGACTTCCGCTTTTGTTTCAGGTAATCGTTTTAGAAGCTTTCATTTGTTCCAAGAAATTTCAGAGAAGATTAGTCTCGAGGCGGGATTCTGTTTCGCTCGTGCTCTTGCTTGGTCTCGCTTGTTCTGTCTCTCTGTGTCTTTGTTTCTGTGTGTGTGTGTGTTTGTGTGTGTGTGTGTGTGTGTGTGTTTGTTTGTGTGTGTGTGTGTGTGTGTGTGTGTGTGTGTGTGTGTGTGTGTGTCTGTGTGTGTGTGTGTGTGTGTGTGTGTGTGTGTGTGTGTGTGTGTGTGTGTGTGTGTGTGTTTGTGTGCGTGTGTGTGTGTTTGTGCGCGTGTGTGTGTGTGTGTGTGTGTGTGTGTATGTGTGCGTGCATGTACGTGTGTGCATGTTTCTGTATATATTTGTGTATGTTTATTTGTACATATTCGTAATGTATATATGGCTGTACATGTATGTGTTTGCATATTCATAATAGATATATATATATCCCTATTTTTCCCTCCCTCTTCCCTGCCGCGGTCGCTGAGCGGTGCACAATTCCCGCACACAATGCAAACGAGTCAACATGTGTTTCGAAGTGGGAACAAAAGCTCTCATTAACACATCAGTGCCAGTTGTGACAGCAATTATGAGATCTGAAGGAGGCTTTAACGAAGTGCCGATGCAAACATTTATGGTTATGGTAGTCATGCACTAACGGTCAGCTGATTATGGCGTTAGGGAAGGAATGGACGGAAGGAGAAGGAGGATGCTGATTACTCGACTTGTTTGTCCTTTCTGTCTCTTACTTGTCTCTTTTTGTCTTTCTCTTTTTCTCTTTTTGTCTGTCTGTTTGTTTGTTTGTTTGTCTGTCTGTCTTTGTCTCTGTCTTTGTCTCTGTCTCTGTTTTTGTTTCTTTCTTTTGTTTTTGTCCTTCTCTCTCTCTCTCTCTCTCTCTCTCTCTCTCTCTCTCTCTCTCTCTCTCTCTCT